TTAGCCTCTAAGGATAGAACAAGAAGCAATGGGCTTAAACTGCAGCAAGGGAGGCCTAGGTTGGACTTTAGGAAAAAGTTCCTAACTATCAGGGTGGTTAAACATTGGAATAAATTGCCTAGGGAGGTTGTGGAATCTCCATCTCTGGAGATATTTAAGAGTAGGTTAGATAAATGTCTATCAGGGATGGTCTAGACAGTATTTGGTCCTGCCATGCGGGCAGGGGACTGGACTTGATGACCTCTCGAGGTCCCTTCCAGTCCTAGAATCTATGAATCTGCTTCGTTCTGTCTGAATGACTGCGACCGCCAGGCCGGTGAAAGAATGAACTTCCCAAAGCAGACAGGTGCACAAACAAAATCTCCCCTGAGTGAGTCCTCCCACATATTTTAACACCAAACTAGGTCAGGCAGGTTATTATTCTTTATTATACGTATTACCATGGCACCTCAGAGGCCCAGTGGTATGTGCTGAACAAACACACAACAAAAGATGGGCCCCTGCTCCAAAGAGCAAACAAATCTAAACAGAAGATAAGAGACAACAGATGGATGCAGACAGACAGTGGGGGAATCCATGGAAACTATGAGACGGTATGGGTTAGCATGACAGGCAGTGCTCTCAGCACACCAAGAGCCTAACCCTTGTCAATTGTTTTGTAGGCATCACATCGGAGGAGCGATTAGAAGGCAGATCACGAATGTAGCGTAGGTTTGATGCAATAAAGAGGCAGCCAGTGGAGGGATTCAAAGAGAAGGGGGACACGGTCAGTGGCACAGGCTAGGAAAACGATCCTTGTAGCATCAAACCGAATGGAGCTGAGCAGGGCGAGACTGTCAAGGCCACAAGAGCGTGTTGCAATAAGATGATGAAAGCCTGGATGACAGTTTTGGCTGGGGGGATGGATAGGAAAGGCTGTCCCTTAGAGACGTTGTATAGAAGGATTCTGCAAGACTTCAATGCAGCCTGGAGGTGAGGACACGGTATAGAACAGGTTCTCCTCTGGCCTCTCGCAAGCTGTGAGATTCTTTACATGTGGCTGATTGCTCTCAACAGTGTGACATTCTGCCTAGTTTTTGAAAACAAAGAAAATCAAAGAAATCACTTCCCGTGAGTAGTATAGGCAAGGGGCAAACGAACCCTGTAAGCAGTGAGCCTTGAAACCAGCTTCCATTTGATACTGATCTGTTCACACGGTTCAAAAATATATGCAGACGCTTCTCTGACTTCTGTTTGATGGCTGAATGTGAGACAGCCAAGCTCTGAGGAATCCATAGGCTTGTGGACAGGGCTTGGGTCACTCTACAGACAGGACAAGTAATGGCCCGGAGAATGCAGCAGCCACTTACGTGTATGACTCTGGGAAAGGAAGGAATTTTCCCAACATGTTTTGGGCAGTAAATACCCTAAACCGTGTACAGTGAAAACAGGCTGGGGCAAGGAATGCTTGGACTGGCTGAAATGTCTGCATTTCCCCACATAGCCACAGAGTGCCTCTCAGTCCTTGGTGAGCCTTGACGTGCTGGGTCCACGATCCCAGAGTGAGGCGCTTGAAGCGCTGGCCAAACTCGCATAGGGAGTTTTTTCGTTTTCCATGGCCCCAGCCTCTGTCTGGCACGTTCCTTTGTAATGCCAGGGAAACTTGCCGGTCCTGTTCAAACAGGATCACCCAGCAGTAGGCAGCTGCTGGTGCAGACTAACAAAGTCCGGTTAGGATTTTGTAACATATTGACTCAAGTACAGTGCACTCCATAGTCCCCTCAGGCTGGCGTGAAGCAGAGCTGTATGTTCGTGTAAGAGGCCCTGTTGCATAAAATTGTTAGTAACTCACCTTTGTACAGCACCTTCCACCCCAAAGGATCTCAAAGGCCTTCACTAATTGAAACTCTGAGTATAAACAGACAGATGACCACACCTACCACTGAGATGCAGCCACCTCCGGGGGTTGAACACAAGCCAGTTAATTATGTACAGCAACATTATACAAGTTTTGGACGGGAGGTAAATACTCCAATAAACAGCTGAAAATGCAGGTGGTTTGTGAGGGAGTAGCATGTAATCACCTTAACTGGAAGTTGACCAGGACACTTGTTAAAAACAGGTGTGTTAACTGAGTCACATGCAGACTGCATGCCAACGATCCAGAAGAGAATTTGGGAATTGGGACAGGGCGTGACTTACTTTAGGTAAATTTCTGAACCGACTTGCTTTTGCTGCTGTGCCCTCTCTGAACAGCTCATTTATAATTCTCGATACCAAGGTTACTCAAAATTCTCTCCAAAGTATCAGTTACTACACATTGTCAGATTTAGCATGGAAAATCCTAGGTTAAGGAGATTAGCCCAGTTAGGACCTAAATAGCTTTGTGGATAAGGGCCCTAGACCAGGTCTACACCTACAAATTAGATTGTCCGACCTGCATTGCGCAGGGCTGTGAAAACTTTTGCGCCCTGTGCAGTAGTTAGGTCATCCTAAGCCCAAGTGTAGAGGCAAGCAGGTCGATGGAAGACTTAACTACTACCTTTCGGGGAGGTGGATTACCTCCACGGACAAGAAAAAATTGGCCGTGGTTGTAGCAAGCGTCTGCATGACACTGCTACGGCAGCCCAGCTGTGCTGCCGCAGTGTGGCCATACCCTTAGTGCCTCAAATGGGGCTTTAGGGGCAGAGACAGTTGTTGCCAACATGCTAGAGATCAATCCAAAACTAAAACCTAACAGGGCTGTAGCTTTGCTAGGGTTGTTGGGCCATGGAACCTGTGTCAGTCTTGCCCACTAGGTGGTGGTAGAGTGCTACAGGTTCTCCCACTGATCTCCTCACCACTGGCCCTAGTCAAGAGCAGCAGCCTAACCCCCAGCCAAGTTCTACAACTTTACTCCACCCTGGCTTTTGGCTCCCCCTGCCCACCTCCATCCCTCCACGTTCAAAGGTACCGAATGTTTCCTCAGCTGGTTTGGTGGTGGTTTTGGTGTTTTTTTGGGGGGGGGGGAAGGGGGAAGAAGGACTGCAGAGGCAGGGAAGGGTTTTGTGGTTTTTGTTGTAGTGAGTACACCAAAAAGCACCTGGAGACTAGCTCTGACCACAGCAGACAAGCCACAGATCCTAGTAGCTCCGTTGCCTAAGCTCTCCATTCAGACGGTACCAGGCCCTTTTCCATGTTATGTGAGGCAAAGGGATCCCGGATCAGTCTCACTCCACGCCACACGCAGATCTGGAACAGGGAGCTTGCCAAGTCAGCTGCTTTCTGGCAACCCAGCGGGAGTCGTTACTTCTGCCCAGGCACCAGGCTCAGCTCATGAATCTGGCAGACTGGGGCTGTCTGCACATGAGCATTGCACAAGCCGTTGCGTAAATCCCAGTGGCAAAGAGTTTGGCGTGGGAAAGATTGACGGGAACAACTGCCAGCAGCTCTACAGGATGGAGAATCTGTAAGCCAAAGAAACTGCTTACATGCTGCGATTTGCACTAAGAGGAACGG